CATTTGTGGCTACAAGTATCACCTAGCTCTCCCTGTTTATTGTCATGTAAACCAGATAATTATCAAGGGCATGACTTAGCTGCAGCTGTATTCTTGCAAAATGTGTATAAGTAGAAGCCAAGCACTGGCCTCATACCTGCAATCCTAGCTACCCAGGAGGCAGAGATCTGAAGTTCACAGTTCAAAGCCAGCTTGGGCAGGAAAGTCCAATTAACCATCAAAGTATCTCCAATTAATGACCAAAAAAACAGGAAGTAGACTTGTGGCTCAAGTGGTTGAGTGCTAGCTCTAAGCAAAAAAATCTCAAGGATATCACCCATGCCCTGAGTTCAATCCCTAGGACCAGCACCCAAAAACAAAGTGTGTACTTGGGAAACTACTGTAAAAGCACATATAACAAATAGTATAACAGAGATGAGATGCTTTGGAGTATTTTCTGTACTTTACAAACATATGCCACATGAATAAACCAACTTTAAAAATGAAAAAGAAGACAAGATAAAAACAGAGAAGTAGAGTGGTGCTGTGGCTCAAGTGGTAGAGCGCTTGCCTTGAGCTGAAGAGCTGAGGGAGAGTGCCCAGGCCCAGAGTTCAAGCCCCACTGTCGACAAAACAACAACAACAACAAACCCAAAACAAACAAACAAAAGGGAATGGTAAGTTTTAGCCGGTGGCTCACACCTATAATCCTAGGTACTCAGGAGGCTGAGATCTGAGGATCACGGTTCAAAGCCAGCCTGGGCAGGAAAGTCTGTGAGACTCTTATCTCCAATAAACCACTAACTAGAAAACTGGAAGTGGCGCTGTGGCTCAAGTGGTAGAGGGCTAGCCTTGAGCTGAAGACCTAAGGGATAGCGCCCAGGCCCAGAGTTCAAGCCCCATGACTGACCAAAAAGACCCCAAAAACAGAGTAGAAATGGATGACAGCAAAAGGTGGTAAAGAAGACTTCAAGGGTCGTAGACAGCACAAGGAGGAGAGAACAGGGCATGAACCAACCAAAGCCTGCATCTTGATTACAAATAATAAATTCTTAATGCTAGGCAGCCTGCTATTGCCTGCACAGCCAGATTTAAAGAATGATTAGGAAATTACTTGACAGGCAGGTTTTTCTCATTTCATCAACATTAATAATCCCTATGGTAAGAAATGGGACAAGCAAAAGGCTCAGAAAAGGACCTCAGCCCACATAGCTGCAAAATCACAACAGTATTCACTGAACATTATACTTAGTGTTGTTTTTTGTTGTTGTTGATTTGGTCGGTCCTGGGGCCTGAATTCTTTTTTTGGGGAGGGGAGGGTCTTTTTTCTTTTTTGGTACTGGGGATCCAACCCAGGACGTTGCACTTGCTAGGCAAGCGCTTTGCCACTGAGCTACATCCCAACCCCTGGGGCCTGAATTCTAGGCCTGGGTGCTGTCCCTCAGCTCTTCAGCTCAAGGCTAGTGTTCTACTACTTGAGCTACGGTGCCACTTCCAGCTTATGTGGTGCTAAGGAATCAAACCCAGAGCCTCATACATGCAAGGCAAGCAGTCTACCACTGAGCCACTTTCCCAGCCCCTATACTTAGCATTTTATAAGGACTATTCAACTTGATTCCACAGTACAGTGAAACATGTCCTCTTAGGAAAGAAGATCTTTTGGACTCACTGGCATTCACAGTAGTACTGCTGACCATACAGTTTTCAAAAAGTAAAAACTAGGACAAGCTAGGAAGAGGGTGGTAAAGGTAAAAGGAACAGAAAAGTTGTTGATTTTTTAGGTCAGCCTAGAAAGTATAAAAGGAAAAACTATGAGCTATTTAGGCCTGTATCATATATTCAGGAAATCAATGCCATCAAAGTAACCATATATTTCTTTAGTAGGTAAATTTGTTTCTCAGAGAAACTATGCCAATATCAAAGTTTATCATCTAGCAGGAAAAAAAAAATGCCATGTAAGTCAAGTACTCTAATTTGAAACTAAAATTCAAAATGCTCCCAATCCCATAACTTTTGAGTCTGGGAGTTTTGACAAGATGGTGCAAGTAAAGAATTTCACAGCCGGGCGCTGGTGGCTCATGCTTGTAATCCTAGCTACTCAGGAGGCTGAGATCTGAGGGTCGCGGTTCAAAGCCAGCCCGGGCAGGAGAGACTGTGAGACTCCTATCTCCAATAAACCACCAGAAAATCGGAAGTGGCGCTGTAGTTCAAGTGGTAGAGCGCTCGCCTTGAGCTGAAGAGCTAAGGGACAGCGCCCAGGCCCAGAGTTCAAGCCCCACGACCGACCAAAAAAAAAAAGAATTTCACACCATGGAACTTTGCTTCATGCCCAAAATCATTTTAATATATATGTAAGATTGCTTTCAGGTTATGTGTATAAGGAGTATGTGAGGGACTGGGAAGGTGGCTCAGTGGTAGAGTACTTGCCTTGCATGCCTGAGGCCCTGGGTTCGATTCCTCAGCACCACATAAGCAGGAAAAAAAAGCGGGAAGTGGCACTGTGGCTCAGTGGTAGAGCACTAGCCTTGAGCTGAAGAGCTGAGGGACAGCGCCCAGGCCCAGAGTTCAGGCCCCACGACTGGACTCCCCCCCGCCCCCCAAAAAAGGAGCATGTGAAGCACAAATGATCTCGTGTATACACTTCAAGACATTCTCAGAACATCTCATTATATGCAAATACCCCAACAGCAACATGATTCTGATCAGAAAGACCTCTAGCCCCAGCATTTCAGATGACACACACATAAGCTGTAGAAACATGCCAGTTAAACTCTCTCGTCAACACTGGCACCAAAATGTTCAATTCAGCAGACAGCTAGTAAGTGCAACAGAGTGAGGTACACAAGAGCCATTTGTAAGCTGGGTAGGTCATCAACTTATGAGTAGGTCAACAGCAATCTTAGAGGGAATCCAAACATGCCCTCTCTGTCTACTCAACCATAATTAACTTCTCTCTGATTCAAGTCAGTATTCCTGTAAATCTTCAAACTACCTACAAGTTACTTCCCTGACACCTGACATTTTCTTTTCTTTTCTTTTCTTTTCTTTTGTCAGTTGTGGGGCCTGAACTCTGGGCCTGGGCGCTGTCCCTCAGCTCTTCAGCTCAGGGCTAGTGCTCTACCGCTTGAGCCACAGCGCCACTTCTGGCTTTTTCTGCTTATGTGGTGCTGAGGAATCGAACCCATGGCCTCATGCATGCAAGGCAAGCGCTCTACCACTGAGCCACCTTCCCAGCCCACACCTGACATTTTCTGCATGACTCTACCTTACCCCAATTCCAACTGGTAGAGACTCGCGTAGCTGCCTGCCTTCTCACTGTGACTCTTGTGAGCTCTGTATTATCTCACACAGCGAGGAAAGAGACTTTCACCTTCTCATCTCACTCTCCTCAATCTAATCCACCACTGTACCTTCCTGGTACTAGATGTCCAGTCTCATACCTATGTTTCTTCCTTATTTTTCTAGTTTGTTTTAGTTGTCTCAGGATACTGTCAAATTCATCCACCACATTAGCTTATTACTATACTCTTAAACTTTCTTATTTCTTTTTGGACTGGGTAAAGATCTCTCCTAACATGTTTGCATCTTTACAAATCTATTCCACTTCCACACTGACATCCAATCAGGGTGATCTCACTTAAAAACTGAAAATTCTCTATTCAGGAGGCTGAGATTTGAGGACTATGGTTTAAACCAGGTCAGACGTGAAGGTCCAAGAGACTCTTATCTGCAAATAACCACCAAAAAAAAAGCCAGAAGGAGAGCTATTGCTCAAGTGGTAGAGTGCTAACCTCAAGCACAAAAGCTCAGGAACAGCACCTAGGCCCTGAGTTCAAGACCCAAGTCTGACGTGCACGGGGGCACGTGCACACACACACACACACAAATCTAATCAAGGCTTCAAATAACTTATATGAACAAACCTAAGCTCCTCCATTTACAGGATGTATTCCCTATGACCTGATTTTTATTCACGTACTTTAGCTTAGACTTAAACAGAAATTTTTTTTTCTCTCCCCTCCCCTTCCTATAGAGAAAGTTCAACTTTTCCTAATCTGAAGGTGAACTCTTTCCTCAATGACATATTCCTGGGTGCTATTCCCACTGCACACACTTACACTAAGATGACAACCTTTCTACATATAGTCCTATAGTTCACACAAGCAACACAAGCTAATTGTTTCCAAGATTTTTCTAGAAGATAAAAGGAACAAATAAGAGGAGATAAATAAATAAGTAAAGCAAATAGAGGAAATTAATAATAATAAAGAGTAAATTAGTTTTGGGGGGGCGGGGAGGATTGGGTGGGGGGAGCGGGGGGGGGGGGGGGAGGATGGGAAGGGTTGGGAAGGGGAAACAAAGGAGGAGCTACAATGCTTGATAAGAAATGTACTCATTATCTTGCCCATGTAATTGTAACCCCTCTGTACAGTATTTTCACAATAAAAAAAAAATAAAAATTAAAAAAAAAGAGTAAATTAGTTTCAGCACTCCTGACCCAAAACAGACATTTAATATGTCCATTAAGACCAAAAAAAAAAAGTATACTAAACAACAAAATTGTATGAATGCTTTGATATTTAGTAGCCTTTGGAGACATAGTCTTCAGTATTATTAAGCAGTAACATTTACTTGGTTGTAATATTGTGTTAGTACATCTAGGTCACAAATATTTATTGCCTAAGGTATAAAAAACAAGCTAGCTGGTGTAAAAAACTGTATTATTACTTAATTATGCAAACTGTAATCAAGATGAGTAAAGTTCACTGTAACAACTTTTATATATGAAATTTATTGATAGGCAAAATGACTCTTGAATTGTAGAACAATGTTAATGGGTTCGCTGTCTCCAAGTGAAAATTTCTCAGAGCACAAACAATATTTATTTGGGTAAAAGATTCTCATTGTCATATGCTGAAGAATTGATACTCTCTCAAATGTTAGGTTTACTCTATGTCTAGATAAAAATGAAACCTATTAAGAGTCAAAGAAACAAAATGAAGTATATTATTCTCTTATACCTGTTGGTAGAAGAAATTCAGAGTTGGCTTGTCTTCAGTAAACTGGTTTAGAAATCCTTTTGGCAAATAACGAATTCTTAATTCATACCTAAAAAGAAATTCACAAAATAAGAGTAATTAGAAAAAAACCAATTTTCTCAATTTATGGTCTAAACTATACTATTATTGTCAATGACTCCGAATTTAAAAATAAGATCAAGTGTAATCAATTATTCTTTAAACTGAGATTCTTTTTCAGCACAAAACAAGTATACCTGTCAGAGGTATATGAGGAAACAGAGCATGAGGAGAACACAAGGCCTATAGCCTGTGGATTATGCTCCCCACTGTCCACTCTCTTACCCTTTCTAGAAGTATTCCTGTGTCTAATTTAGATAAGGGAACTGGAATACCATGCACCATGTGTCCATGCTGCCTGCTGTCTTTCGTTCCACAATATGCTAATAGCTGTGTTTTGATCTATGCTGAATTGCATAGCCCTGTATAATTATTTATCCTCTGTACTGTCACTGGCCACATTCAACCTTTTGGCTATATGACTAATGGTACTATGGACATTTTTTCAACTTTCTTTGAATGCACTCTGTGTGGTTCTTGTTATGTTTCTATGTGTATGTATGTGTGTATGTATATGTGTGAGTATGCTTATATAAATACTCTTCTATGTCTTCTGGTAACATATATACCCAAGCACAGTCTGAGTCATAACGAGTACAGATATGAGTGAGAGTAGTTACTACCATGTATGCCAAAAGGGATGGGCAGGTAACAGGGTAAGTCACTCACCAGCAGCTTGAGGTCTTCTATGTCCTCATGGTCTACCGGCACCTGCAGGTGAGCTCACTCTAAAGGGCATAGTAATTATTCATGGGATTTTAATTAACATTTCCTGTAAAACTAATAAACTGAGTGTTTGAACTAGCACTCATATGAAGATATGTTCATTGGACCTTCTATTATGACAGCTCAAGCTGTCATCTCTTCTAGCTGGATTTTCTGCCTTTCTTCTAACCAACCGCTAATGTGAAGATGTTTAGTAGACTCTGGATGTGAGACCTCTGTTAGACATAGTGAATGTTCTCTCTCTCTTTCTATCTCTCGCCTGCCTGCCTGCCTGCCTACCTACCTACCTACCTTCCTTCCTTTATCCTTCCCTCTTTCCCTCCCTCCCTCCTGCCATTTATTCTTTGCAGTACTGAGAATTGAACCTAGGCAAGCATTCAACCACTTGAGTGAAGATGGAGGTTCAAAGCCACCCGGAGCAAGAAAGTCCAACTCTTATCTTCAATTAACCACCCAAAAGCCAAAAGTGGAGCTGTGGTAGAGTGCCAGCCTTGAGTAAAAAGGGTAAGGGATAGCACCCAGGTTCTGAGTTCAAGCCCCAGTACCAGCATAAAAAAAAAGGGAGGGGTGGGTTTGAAATCAAAAACTTCCATGATTACCAATGGCTAAAGGAATCTCACCAGCTGGGTACCAGTGGCTCAAGTCTATAATCCTAGCTACTCAGGAGGCTGAGATCTGAGGACTGCAAGTTAGAGCCAGAAGTAGAGATGTGGCTCAAGTGGTAGAGTGCCACCCTTGAGCAAAAAAAAAAAGTGACACTCCAGACCCTGACGATAAGCCCCAATCCCAGTACACACGGAATGCTACCCAAAAAAAGAAGAAAATCAAAAGCAGGAAAAAATAAATCCTACTATCTGAGATTAGTAAAGTATGAATAGGAAAGAATATCTCACAGACATATATATGTCTTTTTTTTTTAAAGACAGAAAATACAACATACCTTTCAATATTAACATAGAAAGGTTAATTTCTTAATTCTCCAATCAAAATATATAGAGCAACAACTTGGATTACAAGAGGCATAGTTCAATGGTAAGAGCGTTGTCTAGCAAGCTTAAGGTCCTGAGTTCAATCCCTAGTACAGGAAAAACAGAAAAATCTAACCACTTGTTGCCTACAAGAAACACATATCCACCTGGCATCGGTGGCTCACGCCTGTAATCCTAGCCACTCAGGAGGCTGAAATCTGAGGATCAAAGTTCAAAGCCAGCCCGGGAAGGAAAGTCTGTGAGACTCTTATCTCAGGTAAACCAGTTATAAAACCAGAAGTGGCGCTGTGGCTCAAGTGGTACAGCGTTAGCCTTGAACTGAAGAGGTAAGGGACAGTGCCCAGACCCAGAGTTCAAGCCCCACAAATCACACACACACACACACACACACACACACACAAAGACAGAGTGAAAGGACAGAAATATTTTCCAAGCAAATGGATCCAAAAGAAGGCAGAAGTCTTTACATTTGATAAAAACAGACTTCAAGCTAAAATCAGCCAGAAGAGACAAAGAAGGATATACTTTAATTAAAAGGAATAATTCATGAAAAGGAAATTACAATTAGTATAATGACCAAACACTGGTGCACCCAGTTTCATTAAACAAACATTTCTGGACTTATTTATGGAAGCACTGAGAGACCTTGGCATATTAATAGTGGGAGATTTGAATTCTCCACTCTCATCAACAGAAAGGTCATTCCAACAACAAAACACAAGGCCCCGTGTAGAAAATAACTAGAGTAAGAAGGGCTGGTTGCATGTTCCAAGTGTTAGAACACTTGTCTAGCACATGCAAGGCCCTGAGCTCATACCCTAATACTGCTCCTCACTTTCTCCTCAAAAAAAAAAAAAAAAAAGGTGGGGGGAATAGAAAAGAAAGCTATGGGGAATTGAAAATCTAATAACCATGGTTCTCAGATGGATCAGCTGCCAGTTTATATAATAAATAAAGTCCAAGGGGGCTGGGAAGGTGGCTCAGTGGTAGAGCGCTTGCCTTTCATGCCTGAGGCCCTGAGTTCAATTCCTCAGCACCACTTAAGCAAAAAGAAAAAAGCCGGAAGTGGCGCTATGGCTCAAGTGGTAGAGCGCTAGCCTTGAGCTGAAGATCTGAGGGACAGCGCTCAGGCTCAGAGTTCAGGCCCCACGACCAGACCAAAAAAAAAAAAAAAAATTCTCAGTCATAAATAAAGTCCAAGTTCACCAAACAACACAGACAGCCCTTAAGAATGATGGTATGTGAACAAAGACCTACAATTCTAAAAAGCTGGGAAGGATGGAAATAGAAATGCATTGCTTAGGACAAATTAAAGCAAATCAATGCAAGAACAGAGTCATCCATGAATGCAAAGATTAATGGATGAAAATATAATGAGAACCAGGAAATCTGCACAGTCTCTCAATCAAGAAACTACTTAATTACAAAAGGGAAACAGTGATTTCACAGTGGAGAAACCTGTCTACCACCACCACCACTACAATCAAGTGATTCAAGTTAGAATCACCTGTAAATGAAGTCACTGTCCTCACAGCCTTATTGGTATGGGATACTACCTCAATTGTGGAAATTTTGTCAAAATCCATAACCTTAATCATGAAAAAACAAACAAACCAGTCAAACTATTTGAGGAATACAAAAGTCAGTATAGTTCAGAAGTATCAAATTCATGACTGATAGGCAGACTAAAGAACTGTCCCAGATTAGAGAAGACCTAAGGAAACAGGAGAGTTAACTGACACAGTTTTACTCTCAGCTGGATCCTGGGCCAGGAAAAGGGCAGGTAAGGGGCAGCTGTGAGTTGTGAGGGCCTGCATAGCAGACCAAGTACTTGCATGAATGTCAGTGTTCTAGCTCTAACAGCTGTACTAAGTTCACAAAAATCTTTAAAATTTACAGAAGTTGAGTGAAAGGCATATAAGGCTTCTGAGGTTTTGGGTTTTGTTGTTGTGGTTGTTTTTCTCCCAGTTGGTTGTAGGGCTTGAACTCAGAGCCTGGACCTTGTCCCTGAGCTCTTTTGCTCAAGGCAAGCACTATAGCCACTTAGAGCCATAGCACCACTTCCAGTTTTCTGGTAGTTAATTGGAGATAAGTCTTAGAGATTTTTCCTGGCCAGGCTGGCTTTGAACCGCAATCCTCAGATCTCAGCCTTATGAGTAGCTAGGATTACAGGTGTGAGCAGCAGGGTTGGGCTTTTGGGTATTGTATTTCCTTAAACTCTCATAGAACAAGACTACTCTATAGCCTTAGTTACAGATTCCCAAAAAAGTCAGTGTTAAATCTGCTTGGACATTAAGTTGCACAGCCACTGACTCAATGGAAACGAATTCCCCACCATATTTCATGGATCAGCTGATAATGTGCTCAATGGTCATGTACCTCCAGGTCACCCAAGAAGGCTCCTTCTTAGTTCAGCTCCTTCTCTATTTCAACAAGAAAGAACACATGCCATAAAACAAGCTTCCAAATACAGACCAGTCCTGAGCAATTCAATCTAACTATGGTTCTGCACTGGTGCCACCCATTTCCATCTCAGAGTTGGCCAGCTGTTGAACTTCATGCTTCCAAAAGCTTCCTATGTTATTAATAGTGTGCTCTGATTGAGGAGATTGTCAATGATCTACATGGCTTTCTATTAAGAGTCCAATAAAACCATTTCTCCGGGATTCAAACAATAAATGGCCATGATTTCAGAGTGGGACAAAACGTAAGTAGAATGTTTCCTTAGAAAAGCAAAGAAATTATGTCAAAAATTAGGACAGTGGCTTCCTCTGGAGACAAAATTTGGGAAATGGGTATACCTCTAATCAAGTGGGCTACAATTCACCAATACAGAGACAACAGATTACTGCCAAGAGGCATATAAGAATTAGGTACTAGTAACAAGAAATGCATGAGTAAGTACATGATCATGAGCTTTTATGTAGTTCACACAACCTGAACTCAAAGAATAGGAAGAGAACGCCAGAAAAAGTTAAAAATTGTAATTGTATACATTTCAAGCAAACAACATAACCTTCAAACAGTGAAATAGAAAGCTTAAAAATGCATAAGCACACTATCTCTTCATATTAATAGAATGTATTTTCATTTCAAAAAGGATGAAAACATCAGTTAAACACTAAGGGACAAATAAAAATCACCTCAATCAGTATCATAAAGTTTTTCTCCCTTGTGGTGCAAGCAAACAAATCAGTAATCTATAAGATTTTGTTGTTATTGTTAAATGCACACATACAATTGGAACCCCCAATTGGAGGGAGGCAGTAATCTTAGAAGCATTTACAATATACTGTAGAAGCCCTATATACACTTCACTCAGCTTCTGTAAATTTTAGACTTACATGAACGTAATACAGCTGTGAGATAGAGCCAGAACACTGACATTGATGCAAGTACTTGGTCTATTGATCAGGCCTTCACGTCTCACAGCTACCCCTTACCTGCCCCTCTCCTGGCCCAGGATCCAGCTGAGAGTACAACAGTGCCAGTTAATGCTCCTGTTTCCTTAGGTGTTTTCATAGGTCAAATACACTTATCAGAAATTGTGAATAAATTTGTTTGCTTTGTCAGTCGTGGGGCTTGAACTCTAGGCCTGAGCACTGTCCCTCAGCTCTTCAGCTCATGGCTAGCACTCTACCACTTGAGCCACAGCGGCACTTCCAGAAATTGTGAATAAATTAAAAACGAGCTAGTTCATTTTCATTATGTTACAAGTGCTTAATTACTACATGAATAAAAGGTTCTACAGCATTATATTTTTGCTCTTGGCTTATCTTTAAGTTACATTCTCAGTATAGTAATTTATTGCATTTCATTAAAATACTTTTACTGAATATGTATTTTATAGCAGGAATAGTGATGGGTAAGAAAAAGTCTCTGAGGGAGAAAGTGGAACAATTGTAAAGGCTACGGGAAAAGCAATAGTTGAGTCCTTGCTCTTGGAAATCCCAAGTAATCTAGCAAGGAGAAGAGCACATCCAAGGTCACACCAAAGGTCAACATAATGACTTGTACAAAAAGCCAATGAGTTAGAGAGCCAGAGACAGGAGTCAATAAGTAAGAAGTTGTAAAAGGTAAAGGCAAAGGTGGTAGTGAGATCGAGAAAGCCTGAGGAAGCTATTCTTTTCAGCAGTTAACATGGCTAACACAAGAAGAAACTACCTACTCAAATGGCAATGTGAGCATTTATGGAAACAATCCTAAACTACATTATGGAGTTGATGCAAAGCCCAAAGGCACCAAAGTCACTACAATAAGGAAGAACAAACCGTAGGAGACAGGACTGCAGCGCTACAAGGGAGTCAGATCCTTTGGAGCTTTGCCCTATGTGGTAAGAGCTACTTCAAGTTTCTGAACAGAAACAATTTACACATTTAAGCAAATACTCCAGTTTGAAGGGTCTCATACACATCCCACCATTTCACTACTCTCTACCCACCACCTTCTTAACTGGATACCACAGAGCACCATCGGAACTGAGTCTCATACACATCGCACCACTTCACCTCTCTACCCACCACCTTCTTAACTGGATACCAACAGACAAGATTGGAACTGTTTTTTTCTCCTTGGTTATTATTTGCTAAGACAATTTGTTTCCTTCCTACTTCTACATTATGCTAGACTTCTTCCAATCTAAAATTAGTTGTCATTACATTATTTTATGGAGTTAAGGTATGTTTAAATTTAGTCAAGTTTTTTGTTCTCAATCTGAAACCTTCAAAGACTTTTCTTCCTATTGAGATATTTGTTTCTACATTGGTTCTAAAATTTAAGGAAACTGCCTCTACATCACCTGATTCTTGAACAATAACTTAAATTTATGCTGAAGTACAGGCTCCTCTTAATTTTTCCACTTAATTTGCTTCTACGGTACTTTACCACTTTGAATACAGTAATCCACCATTTTACTGTGAATTTCAATTTCCTATTACTATTCAAAGTCTGAATTTTTCATTGGGATCTAAACATTCTGTCTTGTTCTATAACCATTCAGCAGCATAAGACTTTCTTCTTCTGCCACTTGTGAGAGCATGAGTTAAGAACTAAATGTGCTTCAAAAAAGTTATTAAGCTCAAAGATTGAGTCACTCAATATTAATCACAAAGTATACCTTTAGAATGAAGTGTGTTCCTTTGACATGTTTGTAAATAAAGAACAAAACAGAACAATGTTAAACAGAAATATCTGCCATCTTTTTTTTTCTTTTTTTCTTTTTTTTTTTTTGGGGGGGGGGGGGGTGCTGGTCCTAAGGCTAGTTTTCTTAATAGTGAAAAAATTATTAGGGAAGAGCAACGAAAAGGACAATTACAGGGAATTCATTTAATTCACCTTGAATTAATTTCGGTTTCATTAATGTGTCAACTAAGAGTCATTCAGGGAGCTACTGTCTCATGCCTGTCATTCTAGCTATTTGGGAGGCTCAGACTGTTGGGATCAAAGTTCCAGGCCAGCCTAGACAAGTCTTGAGACCTTTTTGCAACAAATTACTGGACATAGTGATGTGCCTTTTATCCTAGATACTAGAAAGCTTAACATAGTTGGGTTGAACCTAGTTATGTGCCTAGGTGGGAAAGAAGTCTCTGTCTCAAAAATAATGAGCCAAAATGAGGAGGAAAGAGTGCCTACTTACTAGCTCTTATGAGAACCTGAGTTCTCACCCAAGTACTGACAAAGAAAGAGGAGGGGGAAAAGGGAGAGAGAGGGAGAGAATTTCTTTTTGTGGTTGGTCGTGGGGCTTGAACTCTGGGGCTGGGTGCTGTCCCTCAGCTCTTCAGCTCAAGGCTAGCACTCAAGTGAGCCACAGTGCCACTTCCAGTTTTCTGGTTGTTGATTGGACTGATGAGAGTCTCACAGACTTTCCTGCCCAGGCTGGCTTTGAGCCACGATCCTTAGACCCTGAGTAGCTAGGATTATAGGCATGACCAACCGACGCCCAGCTTAGAATTGTAATGTAATTAATTAATGAATGTCATACATACAATCATGAATGTCATACATACAACCATCCTTTTTAGAAGAGCAGTAGATTTCAAGACACAAAAAGAAAGTTGTGTAGCCTACTGATGAGGTAATGAGTAGATTGATTAATAAATTAACTTGTTGGCTCCTCAAGCAAAGCAACAGGATTCAGGATTTGAGTTCCACTGAGACAACATTACTAGCAAAAGACCAGAGTGAAGGAAATCCGAAGGATTAAGGGATGGAAAAGTCTATAGTGCCTAAAAGGGAGACTGAACCCAAGTATGAAGAAACAATTACTATGAAGTGACAGACATGTGCGAATCAAGTGTACACACTTATCCTCGTGTGCATATTTAATACATAGAACAAACGCAGTGTGGTCACTTCATGGGGGTCAGAATCTTACTTCCACTCCTCTGGTGGGTGGGCGAGCTCATACTTCTCCCTCACACTGGAGACACCCATGTCCACGTGGAGCCAGTGTACCTCCTCCGACCGCAGGTGACTGAGGCGGAATCCATAGCAGGCCACATGCTTTACCTTGTGACTGTCCACTATCTTCTGAATGATGCCCTAGAACACACCCCCACAGAAATGACTGTTATAGACTGAAAAAACTATGTCTTCAGTTAATTGTCAAAAAAACAAGCATTAAATAAATTAATTTTTACAAAGGAATCAGTTTTCTCTAGTGCTTTTTATGAACAAAGAAAAGTTGTGTGAGAGAGAAGAAAAACAGAAAAACATGTTCTTTCCAATTGTTTATTGGCAAACAGGCATATAATCAACTTAAAAAGACAATTCCACAACTGCACCATCACAAAAACCCCAAGCTGTCAAAGCAGACATCCTTTGGCTCCCACTTTCTGAGGACTGAGCAAACAAAAGAATTATACTCTCTGACCCAAGGGAACGATATTTCCAAGGTCTTGCTGCAATATTCATACCACTTTTTTTTTAAATCCATACATTCTGAAACATAAAATAAGGTCATACTTCTGCTGGCAGTAAAAGTTCTCTGAATTATCTGAATCTAATCAATCTACAGCAATCTAAAATGTCCTACAACCTTCTGCTCCTGTAAGGCCAGAAGACATAGTTACTTTTGAATAGATCGTCAGATAAAATGGAATTCCTCCTGGGCTGTGGAAAGGTTAGCCTCAGCACTGACTCCTATCCTGTACCTGCATTGATGAGGGAGTTTCCAAATGGGCCAAGTGTAGAGGACTCATGTGAAGGCTGCCTTCAATGTGGGAAGGCAGGTAAAGCACAACCCCCACACTCAAGTCTCTCAAGTGACTAAGGAACGTTCTTTGACTCATTTTCATTTTTAAAAAATTTTTGCACTGCTGGTGACAGAACACGGAGCCTAGTACGTACTCTGTGGGAATGGAAGGGGAAGGGGAAGGGGAGGGGAAGGGAAAGGAAAATGAGGAAATGGAAAAAGGGAATGGAGAAAAATAATCAAACCCGACAGAATGTAGTAGAGTAGTAATTGGACATGTGTTTAAAATATGCTGCTTGAGGGGCTGGGAATATGGCTTAGTGTAGAGTGCTTGCCTAACATGCATGAAGCCGTGGGTTCAATTCTTCAGTACCACATAAACAGAGAAAAGATGGAAGTGGCTCAAGTGGTAGAGTGCTAGCCTAGAGCAAAAGAAGCTCAGGGACAGTGTCCAGGCCCTGAGTTAAGCCGCAGGACTGGCAAAAAAAAAATAAAATAAAATAAAAATAAAAATAAAATATACTGCTTACAACTCATCATTCTAGCTCTGCAGGCTCTGACAACCTAGTTTGGCAATACAGAACAATACTTGGCTACTCTGAAACCTCTATTTCTCTACTTTAGAAATATGGAAATTTCCAATTAAATTCTTCAGAAGATATTTTATAGAATTCTTTTTAGCTGACTAGTGGTGGCTTATTCCTGCAATCCTACCTATCCAGGAGGTATTAGGAGGACTGTGAATTAGAAGTCTGCCCAAAGCAGAAAAGGCCACAAAAGACTCATCTCCAAATAACAGTGAGGCTCAATTGGTAGACCACCAGCTGTTAGCTAGCAAGCCCTGTAAGAGTGTAAGGCTGTAAGGTTAAGTTCAGCACCTGTCCCCACTACCAAAAAATAATTCTTTTTAAGGTAGAAAATTAAAGTCAATGTTCACATCACATTTTAATCACAAACACTGAATGTATATATTCATTACTGGCAGATAAAAAATTTCCCCCTTTTTTTAGACGAGACAGAAAAGTGGGAATGGAAAACAAAATGGCTACAAACACCTTTATAGCTGTTGTCATTCATACAGTGCTTGTACAAGCACTGTACAGAAACAGACATGCTGGGTCAAAACCAAAACATTTTGTCAAGAACAAACTGGTAACCAACAAAAGCACACTAATTGTTCTTAACCCTTAAGGTTATAAGCTGTCATTTACCTCATACTAATAATAAATGAAATCAGTCATTAAATGGTTATCAATCTGGCAAACAAAACAAAAAACTAGAGTACTAGGAAGTCATATTCTCTTAGTAAGTTTTTTTTTGGTTGGTTGTGGGCTTGAAGTCAGGGCCTGGACACTGTTCCTGCACTCTATTACTCAAGGATAGCACCCTACCTCTTTGAGTCACAGTTCCACTCTTGATTACTTATTAGTGAGGTAAGGCCATAAGTTTGTGTCTAAATGATTTACTTGGTTCAGTTTGCTTTTATGTACTATACTGAAAAGCAAAATGGACCTTTGCCATTGTTGTGATGTAAGTCATGAGACCTTTCCTTCATGTTCATTCTATTCTGAATGTCTATGGGGCCAAAGCATGTATTACACTACTGACAGAATTTCAGCAGAAGAAACATACAATAATGAATATATGCAAATGAACATTAACTGTTCTGTGAGGAAGGAAGGGAGAGAACAGGGTGAAAAGGAATACGTGGTATTTTAAGCAATCTTCATACGTTTTATTTTCAAGGTGGAAGACCTACCGGAAGCCACTTTATTGTTAACACCACTCACCCCATTACTTCCTCCGCAGACCAAGCACACCCATCCCACTGCCTTCTACACAAGCAGCAGCTTTGTTTCCATGTGCTCCTACTCCAGACACTATTGGTGTGTAAGAAATTCAAGTGTCCCTACCTGTCTTTCTCTAACCAGATCTGCTCTGCTGAGAGCCTGTCAAGTTATCTAGCAACAACAAAACAAGACCAGAGCTCCAGATGCTGATCCTAAGAACCTGGCACAGAAATCAATCTGAACTTTCTCCAAGACAGAATTACTTTTGCCTGGGCTGGGAAGGTGGCTCAGTGGTAAGCGCTTGCCTTGTATACATGAGGCCCTGGGTTCGATTCCTCAGCACCAAATAAACAAAAACAAAAAAAGCCGGAAGTGGCGCTGTGGCTCAAGTGGTAGAGTGCTAGCCTTGAGCTGAAGAGCTGAGGTACAGCACCCAGGCCCAGAGTTCAGGCCCCACGACCGCACCCCCCCCCCCAAAAAAAAAAAAAAAAAAGAATTACTTTTGCCTCTTGAAGGCCTACTGACTGCACACATTCCTTTCAGCAGCTAAAACAAATCATCACATACGTGAAGTGTACTATGTTCCCATCTGGTGCTTAATTGGAGATAGGCATATCATAGACTTTCCTATCTGGATTGGCTTTGAACTGCAATCCTCAGATCTCAGCCTCTTGAGTAGCTAAGATTACAGGCATGAGCCACCAGTGCCATGGCAGTACTGCTTCATAATACAGCTTTTTCTCTGTTGTTCTTAAGACTTCCTCTGTTGAATGAGAACTGTGGAAGTAAGGTCCTGAGGAAGGGGTGAACTGCATCATTTCTTATACTTTCGTCATAATTATGCTTTTATTATACTTTTATTGTGCTATGTATTCGTTTAATTCATACTAGTTAACATCTTGTAAGACATTAAAAGCATTTAAACTATTAAACTACTATTAAAGCACTATGTAAACTATCACCTAGTTGGAAGAAAGGTCAATTTTTAAAAAATGGTTACAGCCAGACATTAGTGGCTCATGCCTGTAATCCTAGCTATTCAGGAAGCTGACAGCTGAGAATCACGGTTTCAGCCTGGGCAGAAAGTCTGTGAGACTCTCATCTCCCATTAATTATCAAAAAGCTGGAAACAGTGCTATGGCTCAAAGTGCTAGAGCAGTAGTCTTGAGCCAAAAAGCTTAGGGATAGTACCCAGCTGTGAGTTCAAGTATCAGGACAAGAAAAGGAAAAAAAGTTACAATTTAAAAAATGGTGATTCTACAAATTCACAAACCCAGGGCCTTTATGCATGGAAGGCAAGTGCTCTACAACTGAGCAACACTCCTAGTCATTTTTACTTTATTTTGAGATAACAGATCACTCTATATTGCCCAAACTAGTGATGCTTCTGCCTCAGCCTCCTGAGGAGCTAGAATTATGTATCTAGTTCTTATTAAATATTTTGATGACAAAGAAGAGAGGAAGAAGGGAGGGAGGGAGGGAGAGGGGGAGACAGAGAGAGGGAGAGAGAGAGTAGACAGAGGAAGAGAGGGAGAGAGGGAGGGAGGGAGGGAGGGAGAGGGAGAGAGAGGTAAACTGAAGATGACATAGACTACTTAAGGCCTTGTGAGGTATGAGCAAAGAGAAGTAAAAGGAGATTCTAAGAGCTCTAAATGACTAAAGATGCTGTAATGCTTAGCCTGGAGCACTGGCTTCTTTGGACCAAGTGTAAAGAGGGAGAGAAATGAACAGGAGGGAGGGAGCTGGAGGGAGGTATACTATATGGAAGCTCTCAACTGCCAGAAGCTGAACAAAGCAGAACAGCTGTAGAACAGATGTCTAGGACAAGAACAGGGAGGCATCCCTGAGACATACTGGGTTCAATTTCATACCATCACACAAAGCCAGTATTACAACAAAGCAAGTCACTCTGGTTTCTTGGTCTCCTAGTCATATACAAGTTTGCCTTACACTGAAGTCTATGAACTATGTAATGCCATTATGTCTAAAACATCCACTATATAATACCTTTATTTATCTTACCTAATTTTTGCAGTGTTGGTATTGAACACAGGACATCATGTATTCTAGGCAATCACTCTACTACTAAGTTACATCCCAAGCATTATATACTTAGCTTGTGAACAGTTTATTGCTAAAAAAAAAAAATGCTGACAATTACCCGAACCTTCAGTGAATCTTTATCTTTTGGGCTAGCAGAGGTCTGACATTAAAACAGATTGCTCAGGTAAGGTTACTAATGGGGTGCCTGTGGAAATTTTTTCAATTTTTTTTATTACTATAAATTAGGTTTACTAGGTGGAGGGTGTTTCATTGTGGAATTTCCACTGTAGGCCTATCAAGGGGGAGAAGGGAAAAGGAGAATGACAGAGGGAGTAAGACTGATGGAATATACTGTATACATATAAGAGAAAACTTCATTCCTCTAAAACAAGCACCTCCTCATTCATTAGTTCCATCAAAGATTCCAGCCATCAAGTCCTATCCTTCAGGCTCTACTTTCAGTTCTAGTTCCTGTTATTTCCATCATATCTACAACTACTTGCTCCAGAGATCCT